TGCTATGAGTGCACCTAACAACAGTAACAACAAAACCCACTGGAAGGTCAGCTCTGAGTCACTTCTGACTTGATGGCAATTGGAGAGAGAACATCCTTGTACTGTTAGTGGTTTTCAACATCCTTCAAAGTTCAAGAAAAAAGTATTTTTATCATGAAAAGAATCTTTCCTAGAAACGGATAGAATTTCCCATGGAATTACACATTTTAACCTAGTATATGTAGCTATTTTCCATTAAAATAAATACAGATTGTAGTAACATATTTTAGTATTAGAGGAACACATTAAAATTTTAATACAAAATTTAAGTGCAGCAATGAATGAATGGAAACCCAAAATCTCTGTAAATGTTCATTAAAATTAATAAAATTTAATAAAAAAACCCCAAAGGCATGCAGTTTATATCCACTGCCTGTTCCTCAAGAAAAAGATGGGCAATTTCCTCCTAAACAGTTCAGTCTCTGAAAGCCTGCTGGAGGGCCAGCTCTGAATCAGTTCCTATTCAACAGTATAGAAGACAAAACAACTATTGAGAATTTAACTGATAGGAACAATTCTTCTATGATAAAAAGTCAGCTCCAACCCTTTATAGATTAAAAATAAAACACAGAATAAAAAAAATGTTTTACTCAGTTAATAATCTGCATTATCTCTTTAGGCTGCTATCTATTCGCATAAACTGAAAATTTCCCTGAGAAGTATATTTCAGATTTGAAAAATTTTAATGGATGTATCTGCTACTATTTTTGGCACTCATATTTCTGAAAAGAGGTATTTTGATGAAACTGACACTTAAGTGGGAAGGAAGACATGGTTATCTCCTTTTGAAAGGTCATATTCCTTGAAAACGCAGTTCTTTCTCTGTACACATGGGGTCAACATGAGTTAAAATTAACTCCTTGGCAACTTAACAGCACTTCAAGAGAATCTGAGTATGAATATCTGTAATGTGATGTTTAATGGAAAAATTGCTTGCCTTCAAATTGTTAAGGCGTTCTGTTGGCCTAGTTTGTAGGGAGTTGCCCCACTAATCAAAGGCCCATGGTGTCTGGCAGCCTCTTCCTGTTCTGATCTATAGCCTTGGAAGTTTGACAGAGGGGCTCTGAGTCAGAACAGACTAGACAACAGCAAGTTTTCTGAGTTTTAAATTGCTAAACAGTTTATACAATTTTTGTTATGTCAGGTAAAATAAGGATACTAGGGTTTGGGGAAAGCACATTATAAAGTAACACATAAATGAGATCTCTGGCTGCAGATTTGACAATGCAATGCATTGTTTGATTTCTTTCCTTTTTATTGTCTGTAGGAGTCAAAGGTGGAAACAAAAATACCATATTTAGTCATTAGTCTCCCTTCTAATGATTTTTACTTTTTATTTTTTTCCCAGCTCTTGAATATTTTTTCCAGCATGATTTTAACTAAAGTCTGCTTTCAAGGTGAGATACAGCTTTCATTTGTGTAGTTGCAAGATACTGTTTTCTCATTCCTCTTTTTGTTGCCTCTTTGATATGCAGTTGAGCTGGGCCTCTTCTGTTCCTGAAGATGATACTTGCATCATTTCCAAAAGGTTTCAGCTAATTCAGAGCCTATTAGGTTTTAGATGAGCATTTTATATCCTACTTTTAATTATGCTTCAAATGTTCATTGCTTGGATTGAAATTTATGCTTCACAGGAAAATGCTTGTCAGTTTAAGGCTTACTAACTGCAGCTACAGAATCAATTTGATAGTTCCTGAGTTTAGATAATAGTGCCAAGTGCCCAGTATGTGACAGCTGTTGGAACAGAAATGGTCAGATATCCTACATCTTAGTGAAGCTTGATTTAGCTCTTTTAATTGGAGACTCAGTTCTATATTTTTAAGAACAAAAACTTCCTTTAGTGACTCATTTAATGACTTATTTTCAGGAGGACAAGATCAACCTCTAAGGTGGCATTGTTTTTTGTTGTTGTGTACCGTAGAGTTGGAATCGACCCATTGGTCACCTTCCAGCTGGTTTTCAGAGGCAGTTAATCACCCGGGAGGAGATTACCCATCCATCTGTGGCGGAGCTGCTAGTGGCCTCGAACTGCATGCCTTCCATATTGCAGTGCAGCTTCTTGCCAGTAGGGCACTCTTTAAATTATGGACATGTGCCGCTCTGTGGTGCTTATTTGTTTAGAAGTTTTCTAGACAATCTACTTCCATTCTTGCTTCTTCTTAAAGCTTCCAAAGTAGTCAAGGGAAGAAAAAAAAATGAATAGAATATGAAAATATAAGTCAGACAAATAATATAGAAAATAAGCCAGCTAAATTACCCAGCTCAGAATCTGATATTCCAGAAGTAAGTAATTACAATTTCAAGATCAGTTCCATGGAAAAATACCAACCAAGATGGCAAGGTTTGCTTTTGGGCTGTAATTGCTATAATTGTCTCATGTGGAGGCTGGCTTAGCCTTCTGAAGTCCTCAAAAAGGAGGGAAGATAGAGAATCTCAGTTGATCAGATCTGCAAAGATCAAGTTTATTCAAGTAATGGATCATATAATGTCCACACTATACTCTGTGGAATAAGATCTTATTTGGACATTGTACAAACATCATACTATATATAGGCAGTCCTCAGATTATGCACGAGATCTGTTCCTAAATTTGTCTTTAAGTCAAATGTGTATGTACATTGGAATGACTAGGTATAAATTATACTGATGTCAGCCAAATGCTTGTCTTCATATACAGTATATCTTCTTAAGCAAAAAAACATGAAACATTTCCAGATACACCAAAACATCTTCAACATTATATAAGAGTAAAGTTTTGATGGATATTGCAAATAATACTCAATTGTTATTATGAATCATGGGATGTACCTCAAAAAATATATATCAAATAGGCTTTACAGTGATCGGCACATGGATGTCACCCAGATATTGTCCAGTAAAACAGATGCCTTTCCAAGGCTATCCAGGGAAAGCTGATTACTCTCGGGTCGGTAACTCATATTCTCTCTTAATCATTACTTACTGCAGCTCTCGCTCTTGCTCTCCGTTTCTGTTCACAAATGTTTGGGTTTACCCCTATCTTTCCAGGGGTCTTTTACCCCTTTCCCGTCTTTTATCTTTTTCATTCAACCTTACACTAGCTATGCCTCTATCTTACTACCTTAATAAAGGTTCACTTCTAGGGAGCTCTGGTGGCCCAGTGGCAAGAAGCTGCACTGCAATCTCAGAGGCATGCGGTTTGAATCCACCAGATGCTCTGCTGGAGACGGAGGGGCAATCTCCTCCTGTACCAGTCAGATCCGATTTGATGGTACAAAAAATACACACACAAAATAATAAAATTAATTAAAAAAAATAAAGGTTCACTTCTGTAGTTCCCTCGACTTACCCCCTCAAAACCAAAAAAACAACAAAACCCACAACAAACCAGCTTATGACATTTGAGTGGGAGTGACTGTATGAAACACAATGTATATGAACTTTGTAAGCAAACCAGGATTCCAACTCTGAGTACAGAACTGCCCCCTAAGGCTTCCTTAGGAACTCAAACTGCTCATCTTTCCACTGGGAGAGAGCTCTGCTAGTTTAGCTTTAATCACTGCATCACCAGTGTACTTGTTAAGACTATAAAGCAAAGCAAAAACAAGTTGGGGAGGCCTTAGCCTTGATGGAACTGAAGTCCCAAAAGACTTGTACAAGTAAGTGATCACATATATTAGTGCTCAGTCGTCATTGGTTATGGTGACCATAATTGGATGATAAATTACCTCGTATTAAAAAAAAAATCTCGTATTCAAGTAGGCAATGAATGGGTCTACAAATTGAGATCTTGCTTTTTATCTGCAGCATTACACCTGATATTTCTGTGAATGAAAAAGAAAATTGAGTTGCTGGTATTTCTTAGTATTTCAAAATTTCCCGATTCCACTGAGTGCATTTGACTGTAGTTTGGGATTTTAGCCAAGTTTCTCTAAGCTATTTAACTATAGGTTTCACAAGTCCTTAGGCATCTTCAGTATATGGAAAAGTCTTGGAAGGCGAACAGTATTAGACACGTCTCATTCTCTTTCTAATTACGGTGTATGTGTGTGTGTAAATATACACCCGAAGGATCAGCAAGGATATCTTGCAAAAGCTCCCACAAGATCCTATATAAAATAAAGTTGCTTAACGATACAAGCTAATGATTCTCGGAGGGAGAGGTTTCTGAAGGTTCACTGCTTGGTTGGGTGGTGCGAAGGGCGGCCGTTCCTGACCATTTTCCCAAGCAGGCGGGAATCCAAGTGTCCGGAAATGGTCAGAAGCTGCCCGCAGGGTGAGCAGGGTCTCGGTTTCTCCTGGAGAGTGCTTTCGACTCCGTGTGGACACGCAGTCCGGTCAAAGCCAACCCTGTTTTCCTCTTCTTCTCCCAGGCCGGCGCCGAGGACCCCCGCGCGACCGGCGGGAGGCAGTTTCGGCCTCCCCACCGCCCGCGCCCTGTGCCTGAGCGAGCGCCCGCCCC